ATATTGTTTCTGGTTGAACCATCCATCACCCCAGATTGCCATGGTAATAAGGAAGAGGGAAACGAGAGCATAGCGGGCGCGGATGGAACGACGAACACGAGGGGCATCAAGACCGTAACCAAAGACAAAGGCGCCGATCATCTGTGAAATCCAGTAGAGAACATTGTTCAAGGCACGGGTACGAATGTTGAACTTGGCCAAGTTGACGGCATTGAATTGGTAAGTAGTAAACCAGTTGCTGGCAAAGAACATGGGGAAGAGAGCAATGATGTACCAGTCAGATTTAAGAACGGTGACAAGGCCGATGAGTTCAGATTTCCAGGAAGGGTTCTTCATGAGGATGACACGGGTGCCATCTGAACGCTTGATGTCTCTAGCATTGACAAGAGCAAAGCCAAGGAGAAAGCCAACGAACATCAGGACCATGAACAAGATATAGGTGCTATCCTGAACAGAGTTGGACTTGTTGTGAAGGTTGTTGGCAAGGGGAACCTTCGAACAGAAAAGTTAGTGTTTGCTATGGATTGGATGGCTGAAAAGGGGGATTACTTACCAATGAGCCAATGACACCGCCCAAGTTGAAGATAGCCCAGAACCAGGAGATGAATTTGCCCTTGGAGTACTCATCAGGGTAGCTCATCATGATAGCCCCTTGAGCAGTCCAAAGACAGGCGGCACAAACACCGAGGAGAGCTCCAGCAAAGATGAGAAAACCATCATTCTTGTTATGGTTGTAGGACAAGATAGAGGCAACATAGAGAAAGTAGCCGAATCCACCAAAAGTAAGGGTATAGCGAAGACCGAGCCGATTGGCAATGGAGCCTGCAAAGAAAGCCACAACCGCAAAGGTGCTGTAGAGGGCAACATTGGCTTTATCGATATCCTGAGGGTTAACAAGGCCACCTGCACCAAGGCCACTAACAGCATTGAACATGCCAGGGCAAAGGAAGCAGACCAAGGAGACCAAGATAAGCTGTGCCACAGGAGATGCAAACCATGGGGTGTAGAAACGGCCAATTTTTAGCTGTCGGTACATCCATCTGGGCCCATTATGCTGGTAGGTTCCCACGGGAATGGCCGCATCCGGACCAGAGGCTACAGAAGTCATCTTCACAGGACGCTATATATGCGTGCTAATAATCAAAGAAAGGTGATATCAGCATGAGTCCGGACCCTATGAGGTTAGAATAGATTGTTTACCTTGTGTAAAGAAGTTGTAGAGCCGTGAACGACGCGTTTAGTAGAGCAGAAAGGATGATAGACAGGGTGTAGAGAAAGAAGAAGGTGGTTGAAGGAGAAAGGAAAAAGGAAGAAAGGAAGAAGAAGTTGATGGTTAAAGAGATTCAAATAAAGAGGTGGGAGTGTGTGGTAGAAGGTGAGAGAGGAGGACAGAAAAGAGAGGGCAAAAGCAGTAAGCGAAGAAGTGAGGGCTCAAAGTAGATGATACACATAGGAATGCGAGGAAAATAGCGCCAAAAAGGAGGCTATAGAGTGCATTCTACATGGTTCCTCACCTCACTTTGGAAAATGGGGGCTGGGCTCTGTCCTTAGCGCCATTTCTATAGCAACAGGACAGAGAGAAAGCTGAGAGTGTCATGTAAGGCAGCTCACATCATTCTACTAGGACAGCTAGAATGTTCCATAAGATATCTGATATCTAGGGTATATCATTAAAGAGTGGCAGTTCCTCTATGGTAGTGTTCTTGGTTACCATATTGATGATATTCACTTTCTCCCTACATTTACTGTGGACGTTGCCAGCAACTTCAAGGCAAGATAGACGGAAGATATCGAGGATACCAAGCAACTTCAGACTATACAGAAAATACCCCAGTATCTATATGAGTTATAGATAGATGGCTATATACCAGAAGATATATATGCATGCCAGTGCATATATATGAAATGGCACTGGTATCAAGTTGTTATCCGCGCGTCTAAGTCAGCAGCAAGCGCGCTTGGCTCGGGCCAACCCCTGGCCTAGCGCCCGCGGTTATCTGGGGTATCAAAGCTTGCCTTCGACTCCGCAAAGAACAACTTCGTTCTCGGCATAATAATAATTATTGGGAAGTATGGGAACGCCTGCTTGGGGTATATCAGCGACAGTAACGTCCGCCTGCTATGGTACCACCCACCCCCCATAATGGTTATCGCTCCAGGATCATCCCCCCACCACGTTATCCTCGTATACACGCCTACACCTCCAGCTTCCCCTTGGGTTGCAGAGCGTCTGGGGTGATATCCTCCCATCCCATCCGTCTTGCCCCTTGCCCGCCCTCGCCGTCTCGTTCTGCGACGTCAAAATTTCCTTTTTTCGTCTTTGGTTGCATCAAGGGTCATGTGATCGCTGAGTCAGAAACCTGGGTACCATGGTATTTATCGTATTTTTAATTCTGCGGAGTTACCATACGATACCGCCTTTAAAACCGTATCGTCCGTGTTTCGCGTATCGACTCCACCCAAAACGGCGAAAAAATAAGGTTCTTATGTCGCATTTATGACTTCATTGCTTGAACAGGCAGAGGGCTGTTTGGATGCGACGGCAACTTCGAGGCTCTCCGCCAGATGGAACAGAAGATAGCCCAAACCTAGGACGGCGACAACATCTGCTCCAAGATAAGCCGCCTATTGGAGGGAGATAGGGGCCAATGAAGGGAACTCCGGGAAGGCAAACAATACCAGAGACATATAATCTCGTACATTCGTCCCATGGGGTTCAAGAGCTTTGTCGTAGTTCGGTCTTCCGACTACCACCACACACTTTCAAATCAAAATCATCTTGACCCCCTGCCTGTCTTCTTCATCATAAAGAGTTGCGCATCTCTGCTGGTATAAGATAAACCGACGCCATGCCGTCGATTACCAGAGAAGTCCTTGCTCCCCGGGTCACCAAGTTTACGAACTGCCGTGTACCCAACGGGCAGAAGCTTATCGAACAAGATCTCTGGGTTGACTCTGTCTCTGGCAAGATCTTGCAGGGCCAACATGCCTTTTATGAAGATAAGGTGTGTCCTGACCAGGTCATTGATCTGGGTGGGCGTATCCTTGCGCCAGGATTTATCGACGTGCAGATAAACGGGGCAAACGGGTTTGATTTCTCGGTCCCTCAGCCGACAAAAAAGATGTTTGATGATGGACTGAGGGATGCTGCTCAGGCATTGGTGAAGATGGGAGTGACATCATACCTACCCACGGTCACCAGCCAGAGTAAAGAAGTATATCCAAAGGTAGGTTATCCTCCATTTAACTGGGTATAACATTGACTGACATTGGACAAGGTCCTACCATCTCTAGGACCATCTGGTCATCGCCGTCGGGCAGAAGATGGCGCAGAGTCACTCGGCGCTCACGTCGAAGGTCCATTCCTCAGCCCAGGAAAGAATGGCATACATAATCCCGAAGTCCTCATCGCTGCAAACGACGTCAACGACCTCATCCAGTGCTACGGGCTAGAGAACTTTTGCAAGAACCAAACTCCTCCAGACCGCATGCCTATCAAGATGATAACCGCCGCTCCCGAGGTGGGCAACATGCTATCTCTTATCCCGGCAATCCAGTCACAGAACATCCTCTACTCGATCGGCCACTCGGATGCAACATACGAACAAGCCATGGCGGCAGTTTCAAAGGGAGCAACCATGATCACACACATGTTCAACGCCATGAGACCCTTCTACCACCGTCATCCAGGCATCTTCGGTCTTCTGGGCCAGTTTGAACAGCATCGTCCATTCTATGGTATCATCGCGGATGGAATCCACCTGCACCCCACCAGCATCCAGATAGCATACAATGCCCACCCTGCTGGCATGATCCTTGTGACGGATGCAATGAAGCTATGCGGTATGCCTGACGGTGTCTACGAGTGGACCAACGGTGACCGAATCGTGAAGAAAGGCGCCATGCTCACTCTAGAGGGATCAGAGAAGCTGGCCGGAAGTTCAGCCACTTTGATTGAGTGTGTCAACAACTTCCGCCGATGGGCTGGAGCGAAGACTGTCGAGGCGATAGCTGCCGTTACCGAGACTCCGGCGAAGATGTTGGGTATAATTGATAGAAAGGGTACCTTGGCCCCGGGAGCAGATGCAGACCTTGTGGTACTTGGAGAGGACAGGCTTGCTGATGGAGGTATGGGTACACTGGCCGTTGACCAGGTGTGGAAGTTCGGTGTCAAGGTATTTGATAAGGAGAAGGCTTGAAGGAAGGCTTGAGGACCTGGTGTCTACCCTTGTATTTCATTTTGCATCGACACTCGCTTGCATTGATTTGTGTTTCCGGCATGAACGAATGTTAAATAGCTACAGATTACTTCTAAACTTGATTATGAGGTTATGATAGATGACAAAAGTGTATAATAATAGACGATATTCAGCAACAAGCATCGCATCTTTCCTTCCCGTGTATTCGTTGAATTCGGCGTCAAAATAAGGTCACTTTTATATACTGTCTAGCCTGATTGGGACTAGCTTGTACAGCACTGTCCACTAGTCCCAAAGAGGGTCCCTTCCAGAAGCGGCAAAGTCAATGCCTAAAGTAGTTAGCGCCAGATGTTCCCATGGGACAAAAGGGAAAATAATTTTCAGTCTAACCATATTGAGAACACGGCCAGGTCCGAAAACGGATTTTTCTTTATCGATAACGAAAGTGGGTCTTTTTATAACCTAATTCTGAATAAATCGGCGTATTTTTTTCGTAACGTAGTACATGCAAATTCTTAAGAGTTACCAATGTATTACCATCTATTTATTCTATCAACATGTTGGCTAGCTTTCACTCAATACTGCAAAAGGTGAAATTGTATAGACATAACATTCGTTATTGCTTCTCTATATATCGAGGATCTAATTCTGGATCCCAAAGCCAGGGAAAAATGTTAAATGGAAAGGAAAAACATGCTGCCCGGATGGTATATATATATTCAAAAATGGGAAAAGACACCAGAACCGTTTTAGATCATCCGAATTCGTTAAAATTGGATGGTTTTCGTCATGAACAGTGGTTTACAGACGAGAGGAAGATGGGCGCCATCCTGCTTCCTCGGCAATCAGCTCAGCTGCGCGCTCACCAACGCCCAGGACGGTAAGCATGGGGTTGATGCTAGGCATGTCAGGGAAGACGCCGGCGTCTGCGATTCTGACATTCTTGAGTCCACGGATCTTGAGGGTTGGGTCGACGACGGCCATACGATCGTTCTGGACGTCTCCCATCTTAGTGGTGCCAGCAGGATGGTAGACGGTGTGATGGACTGATCGGCCGTAGGCGCTCAATTCCTCGTCTGTGGTGGTGGCTGGGCCCGGGGCGACTTCACGCTTGATCCATTTCTTGAATGGCTCTTCCTCGGCGATCTTACGGGCTGCCTTGAGACCAGCTACGATGGTGGCAGCGTCGTAACCCTCTGGGTCGGTGAAGTAGCAGAAGTCAAGGGCTGGCTTGACGGTTGGGTCGGCAGAGGTGAGGTAGAGTCTGCCTCTAGAGCGAGGGCGGGGGATGTTGGGGGTGACGCAGAAGGCGTTGGCGGGGACGTCGTAGCCCAGACGGCCGGTGTGGATGCCGAATGGGATTTGGTAGCAGTGCATCATGATATCGGCGCAGTCACCATCGAATCCGGCTGCGTTGATGGGCTCGCGGCGAAGGAAGACACCTGCATCAGAGTCCATGGTGGTTTGGTTTGGTGGAACGGGCTGGTTGAGCTCCCACATGATGATGGTTTCGGGGTGGTCGACCAAGTTCTCTCCCACACCAGGTACGTCCTTGACGACAGGGATGGAGAGCGCAGAGAGCTGCTCGCGTGGTCCAATGCCGGAGAGCAGGAGGAGACGGGGGGTGTCGATTGCGCCAGCGCAGAGGATGGTCTCCCGCTTGGGGCAAAGGGTCAGTTTGGCGCCTGACTGGAGAGTGACGTTAACTCCGGTCACGGTGTCTCCGCTGACATTAACCTTGGACACCCAGGCGTGAGTCAGGACGGTGAGGTTGGGCTTCTTCTCCGCTCCGCTGAAGACGGGGTGGATGTAGGCAACGCTGGCGCTGCTGCGGCGGCCGTCATCCGGGTTATAAGACACCGAGAAGAAGCCGGTTCCCTTGGTCAGTCTGCCCTCGGAGCGAATGGCTCTGTTAAAGTCGGGAATAATGGGGACATTGAGCGAGGTCGAGCAGGCCTGCACCCAGTCCTTGCAGAGCTGGTTGCGGTGCCTGGCGTGGATGGGTTGCACGGTGTTGCGGAGATTATCGATCACACGAGTGAAGGTGTCGAAGCTCCAGCCCTTGCAGCCTTTGCTCTCCCACACTTTGCAGTCGTATTCAAACGGACGGAAGGAAATTAGGGTGTTGTGGCTTGAGCAGCCTCCCAGCACCTTTGCCCGAGAATGGCGAATGTGGCTGTTACCTGCACATATTAATGTCAGCTTCTTCCCGCTCGTTAACTAGTTACTTCTCAAGTCAATGCCTGCAAACTCACCCATGGGCTGTTCGGTCGTGCCATAGTCATAGTCGAATTCACCGCCCAGCAAGCACAGCCAGTCCTTCAGCTTCAAAACACGGTCGTCCATGTAGTCGCTAGGGCCGGCCTCGATGAGCAGGATCTTCTTCCGTGGAAGATACTCCGCCAGCCTGCTAGCAATCACACAGCCGGCCGTACCACCGCCAACAATGACATAGTCGAAGCTGTCGGCATCTGCCGGGGCAATGTGAGTGACTGGGCTGGCCATTTCAAACAGGTGTATAGTCGAATCTGGGTAGGCAAAGGGGGAACACTAAGCGTACTCCGAGTTTGCGAGTCGGCAGTTGTAGTTATCCAAAAGAGCGGTGCGAGCAAGCCCCTGGCGGCAATGACTTTAGTATCAGGAGAGATGGGAACAGGCACCAGGAGAAGAGGACCCTGAGGCGGCGGTTCCCCTGATATATATAGAGACCTATAAATGACCTGATTCCTTCGCCCGCCCCCGTCCACGACGGAAGGGTAGGGCAAAAAAAAAAAGATAAACTGCTCGCCGAGAAACGAACTCTGGATAACTTCCAGCTCGTTTTCTCCATCGACCTGTCCCTGCGGCACCAATCACGGCCATCTTGCAGCGTCTCCACAGGCGGCGAGTTGGAGATCGAATCCCTGGCCACCGGAGTCTCTGGACATGCTTCCGCGCCATCGCTGGCTGCGAGAGCTTGCACCAGGCTGGACATGGGGCCTTCCGAGTGCGCAAATCATGGCATCGAACTGGGCCAAACGGCGCTTCGTATGGCCAGCAATTGTCCGGAGTCGATGCTGGGGTCGGCAGCGATCTAGCGCAGGGATTCGTAGACTGCCCCCAATTGACCACTCTGACCACTACTGAAGGCCGTCGAGGCAGTCGGTACGGGGGAGGCCGTTAGGGACCCTCTTCCGCCCTTCGTTTTCGTCTGTTTCTAACTTTTTGCGCCTCCTCCACTTGTTCCGCTGGGTGGGATGACGGTGTCGCCAGATCTGCCCGGGCGATATATGGGCCTGTCCCCTAGGGTTGCGCTGAAACCGAGACCTCGGAGATGGCCCTTTTTTCGTTTCTGCTTAATTTCCTCGCGGCCAAGACGAAAAGGAAGCTGCTCGCATGCAGAGTGACATCACCGTGAGGGGCTCTTCGGCTTTTGCTCGATCTTGAAGCGGTTTTGCTGGCTGTTCGTGGCATCCATCGTTGTAGTTGTTGAAGTTGTTGTTAGCTACGGAGCAGGGAGACTTAGCCGAGATGTCGTTCAAGCCGCAGCGTCTCTACTACGACGGCCAGCCGCAGGCCAGCACCTCGAACAAGACGTTCCAGAGCGTCAACCCGGCGACGGAGGAAGTGCTGGCGGACGTCGGCGTGGCCTCGAGCGCTGATGTCGACCAGGCCGTGAAGGCAGCGCAGAAGGCGTTTCCGGCGTGGTCGAGGACGCCGCATGTTGCCCGCGCCCGCATCCTGCTCAAGGCCGTCCAGCTGCTGCGCGAGAGGAACGACGAGATCGCCCGGGTCGAGACGGCGGACACGGGCAAGCCCTTCTCGGAGACGAGCACGGTCGACGTGACGACGGGCGCGGACGTGCTGGAGTACTTTGCCAGCATGGTGGCCGGCGGCGGGCTCAACGGCGAGACGGTGCAGCTACGAGACGACGCCTGGGTCTACACGAAAAAGGCGCCCCTGGGCGTGTGTGCCGGCATTGGAGCATGGAACTATCCCATACAGATGTGAGCTGGCTCTGCTTACCATGTTTATCCTGTCACTAACTGTCTGGCTGATGTATATAGAGCGCTGTGGAAGTCAGCTCCTTGTCTGGCTGCGGGCAACACGATGGTCTACAAGCCCAGCGAGTTCACTCCGCTGCACGGCGAGATCCTCGCGGACCTGTACACGCAGGCCGGCCTCCCAGCAGGCGTGTTCAATGTCGTCCACGGCGCAGGAGACGTCGGTGCCTATCTCACCGCACACCCGGCGATCGCAAAGGTCTCGTTCACCGGCCAGGTGGCCACCGGCAAGAAGGTCGCTGGCTCTGCGGCCGGAGGCATGAAGTACGTCACCATGGAGCTGGGCGGGAAGAGTCCCTTCATCGTGCTGCCAGATGCCGATCTAGACAGTGCCGTTGACGGGGCCATCCTCGCAAACTTCTTTAGTACGGGCCAGGTCTGCACGAACGGGACTCGAGTGTTCGTTCCCTCGAGCCTGAAAGCAGACTTTGAAAGCCTGCTGCTCAAGAAGATGCAGTACGTCCGGGCCGGCGACGTGATGGACCCAGCTACCAATTTCGGCCCCTTGGTGTCGGATGTTCACTACAAAAAGGTGACGGACTACATCAGACACGGAGTCGAGCAGGACAAGGCCAAGTTATTGTACGGCGGGCTCGAGAAGCCCAAGGCCAGTTCACCTTCTGCATCGTTTGACAAGGGGTACTGGATCACACCCACCATCTTCACCGACTGCCGGGACGAGATGAAAATCGTCCAGGAAGAGATATTCGGGCCCGTCATGTCGATTCTGTACTACGAGACGGTCGACGAGGTGGTCAGGCGAGCAAACGAGACGCCTCTTGGTCTTGCAGCTGGCGTCTTTACACAGAACATCAACCTTGCCCATCGGGTAGTCGACCAGCTCGAGGCCGGCATCACATGGATCAATTCGTGGGGGGAGTCCCCGGCTGAGATGAGCGTGGGCGGATGGAAGCAGAGCGGCGTTGGCGTTGAGAACGGTCGACGCGGGATCGAGGCTTGGGTCAGGACGAAGAGCACCCTGGTTGATATGAGCGGTGTGGTAGCGACCAGCTTTACGAAGCTGTAGCTAGCCAGCTAGTTTTAACTACCCGGATGCTGATTGCTGATCCAGTTGGTTGACTCGGCGATATACCTGGCTTATAGGCGGGAGACGGCTGACTAGCACACCGCTCAATATTCAATTCAATGAATATAATTTAAAAAAAGACCGCAAAAAGTGGTAATCAGTGGTAAATAGTAAAAAGCAGATCAAAGTGACCAATTTCTAATGCTCCTTTCACCAGTTGCAAATGCTGAGATAAAAAAAAAAAAAATGCAAACGGAACGCTGGACGGAACGCTAAACACATGCAAGACACATAATATACATCAAACATCACACGTAAACCACTCCAAACACACAAAAGACTAGTAGACGACCCAGGTACAGACTAATTTGGATATAATGATAAATACTACAATGCTATGTTAAATGATCGAGAAGAAAGATAAAAGAGACCAGCCTATACTTCACTTTCGTCCCATCATACGTTTAAATCATCAGTCTCATCCCTGTGTGGGAATTCGAGAACCCATACGGTCGAAAATCAGATCTCCGCCACGGGTCATGGTTTCGTCCAGGCCCGCAATCGCAGAGTCGACGATGCGCGAAGACATGCTGTCGGGCGTGAGTTCGTCTGGATCGCTATCTTTGGCATTGAAAGCAGTGTCGATTTTGAGGCCTTTTCTCGAGCCGACGGGGGTGCTGAGGTCTGCCGGCGGAGCCACGGGCACGTATGGCTTTGTGAACTGAACAAGGGGAGGTCCCTGCGTGCGTGCGTCCGTGCCGGAGAGCTCGATGCTTTCAAAGTACTATTCATATTGTTAGAAGGTTGTATATATATTAGGTGAAAGTAGGCGAGCATACCTTGACTGTTTTCACCTTTAGCTCGAGAGTTGCATCTTCATCAGCTACGATGAGAGGGTGCTGGTGTAGCTGGAGAGCGGAGAGGGTCCACATGTGGTTAACGCCTCCTTCGATGCCCTTTTGCAGGGCCTTAGCCTTGTGCACGCCAGTCACGACGATAACAACCTCGCGCGCATCCATGATGGTTTTGATGCCGACTGTAAGTGCAGTGCGAGGCACCTGGGACAGATCATTGTTGAAGAAACGGGAGTTGGCAAGGATGGTGTCGTAGGCCAGGGTCTTGACTCTGGTGCGAGAACTGAGACTGGATCCAGGTTCGTTGAAGGCAATGTGGCCGTCTGGACCAACCCCACCCAGGAAGAGATCTATGCCGCCTGCTTTGGCGATCTTTGCCTCAAAGTTCTGGCATTCTTTGGTAAGATCAGGAGCATTGCCGTCTAGAATGTGGATGTTTCGGGGTGGTATGTCGATATGGGCAAAGAGATTGTTGTACATGAAGCTATGGTAGCTCTGCGGATGGTCCCGGGGCAGTCCAACATATTCATCCTAACACTTTTAGTTTAGAATCTTTTCTTATGTAGTAGAGATGACTAAACATACCATGTTGAATGTCACCACATTTTTGAAGGATATCTGGCCAGCTTTGTACCGCTGGACTAGGATCCTATATACGATCTCGGGACTGCTTCCAGTCGGCAACCCAAGCACAAACGGCCTGGCAGTCGATGGTGAGAACGCATTGATGCGGCCTATGACGAATATATTAGAGAGGTCTCTGTCAAGAAGTGTAGGAAGAATAGGCAAGAGGACAACATACTGACGATGTAGTCTGCTATGTATTCAGACACAGCCACCGGGTCCTTTCTGATGATCACTCTCCTAGCTGCTGTCAGTATATAGCACCTAGCGCATAATCAGGGGGTGAAACTCACATATTGACTCGACTAGACTCTTTCAGCTGAAAAAGGGTAGTCTATGGTAGAGGTTGGGCTTGAAGGAGAGGATATCGGCCAGAACGAAGCAGCGATGAGTTGTTCATATAAGTTTTACCAATTTGACCACAACCCAACGTCATCCCTCCGGAGCCCGCGTTTCTCGGTCCTGGATCATAGTTTGCTTTGCACTGTAACCTGAACCAAAGGTAACATCTTTCCTGAGCGCGTGATGCTACGCCGTATACATTGACAACTCAATATGTATACTCCAGAGGAGACTCCCCCCATGCTGCGTTTTCTATCGGGCGGGGGATCAAGGTTGGTGCCTTGACCCCGACTTCAGGCCTCTCCGGACCACCCTCCATATAACCGGCGAGCTGCTTTTCTTGCCATCACCATCCTGTTGACATCGTTGCTGCAGTCATCCTGCAAGTTTATGCATCTCGAAGTATCAAGTCGAGGCCGAAGAAGTAGATGAACTGCGGTAAGTTAGAGCTAGTATCGGCTGTATCGGGGCGGTATCCAAGATTACACCGTAATGTAAATACGCGGGGCTTACACTGCAACGTCGCATTTATCAAGCCGATGAGTCAAAAGAGTGTGAAGACTTCCCGTTGTTGTACTTGGACTATCTGTGCCATCGGTAATGTTGGCCGTGACTGTTGATCTGAACGACCTAGAAGTTTGAAGATGAAGTTCGACTTTTTGAAGTTGATGCAGAAGAAGAAGAAGAAGCAGGAGAGACGAAAGAGGAAGCCTTAGTCAGAACTTAGTAATACTATTAGTAATATATTATTCATCTTATTACTCATCTTATCATTACTCATTATTTAGTCATCACTTACTAATTTCTTACTAAGCAACCTTCTTTGAGCTTCTCTTCTTGCTTTTTTGTCGCTTTCTCGACTTCAACTCCAGCTTTTGCTGTGATTCTATGCGATTTGTAGCCTCATTTTGCGGCTAAAAAGGCGGCCTCGACGCGCTTACGTGCATGCTGGACGCCGTCGACCTGCGCTGCGACCGTGACAGCCGACCAGGGCCTGTGACAGGTCTCCCCCGAGGGTTGCGTTGGGCTCCCCTGGCCGCCAGCTCCGTCCGGCCCCCGAGTTACCTAGTTACCCACTCCCGCCGTCTCACTCGCCCGTCCCATCGATCGATCGATCGCACCGTCTCTCCAGGGCGCCAGACACGCGCGGACGATACACACACAAGCTCGCTGCAATTGATATACACACGCTACGACGCACAGTCGCATCGCTGGTGGCGTGGGGGGAGACGCACGGGATGCCTGGCCTGCCATGGCGGCCAGAGCAGACATGGCAGCCCCTGAGTGGGATGCAAACCTCAGGTTCGTTCGACGGCCCTTGCTTTGTACCTTTCTGCTTTGACCTGGTTGCGCTTTGGGCTGTTGGGAGCTTTATACCGGCTTATGTCTGCCATTGCTACGGTGCTACAGGCTGGCTCAAAAAGCTTTCCAGCTATGTCCTTCCAAACCAGAGCATATTCAACTGCGTGCGCCGTCGAATGCGCCGTAGATGCGACGAACACACTACAGAGAGGGTACATTGGCTGACTTGAAGCTTCCGGCATCATCACGATGGTGCTGGATATCGGATACAGGCAAATGGGACAGCTTTTTGTCATGGGATTCGATGGTACCACCGTCGACCCCCAGATCCGCTCGCTGATTGAAGACTACCATCTTGGAGCCATCTTACTGTCAGCCAAGAACCTGAAGTGTACAATCATCCCTTCTCTCGAGCTTTGATTTTACTTTTTTTTTTTTTTTTTGTCCCACCTTCTCATTTCCTCCCGTTACTTACGCATAACTTTTTTGCGCTCTCATTACAACCGTCGTATAAGAAATTAGCTACCTTGCTGTAAGGTACAAAACAAAAACTAACTCCCGGATAGCCGCAGATGAAACGGCAAAGCTCGTTCTGGAGCTTCAGACTATTGCCCGGCAGGCCGGCCATCAGTTGCCACTACTCATCGGACTGGACCAGGAGAACGGCGGTGTCAACAATCTGTTTGATGATACATATATACGCCAGTTCCCCAGCGCCATGGGGGTCGCGGCCACGGGCTCGCCAAAACTAGCTAGAGAGGTAGCTAAGGCGACGGCACAGGAACTTCGAGCTGTTGGGGTAAACTGGATCCTGGGACCGGTGCTGGACGTGCTGACAGATGGCAAAAACCAACCGCTGGGAGTGCGCAGCGTAGGAGACGATCCGCAAGAAGTTGCTACGTACGGAGTCGAGTCGATGAAAGGGTATCAAGACGGAGGAGTAGCTACGTGTGGGAAGCATTTCCCCTCATATGGCAATTTGGAGGTGATGGTATCGCAGTCGGATGTCCCAGTCATCACAGACACGGTTGATCAGCTCCGGCTCAGCGCACTTATCCCCTTCCGCAGCGCAATCTCTCAAGGGCTGGACTCGATGATTGTGGGCGGCTGTTCGATGATATCTCAGGGGATGAATGTGATGCATGCCTGTCTGTCCGAAGAGGTTATTGAGGACCTACTGCGGTCCGATCTGGGCTTCCAGGGAGTGGTAGTCTCCGACTGTCTGGAGATGGAAGCATTGAGCAGCAATATTGGCGTTGGAGGCGGGACGGTGATGGCCCTCAAGGCCGGATGTGATTTGGTGCTGCTGTGCAGGTCGTTTACGGTGCAGCAGGAGGCCATCAGCGGGCTGAGGCTGGGAGTCGAGAACGGGATGATAAGCAAGGAGAGGATACGGCAGTCCCTGGCTAGGGTATCCGCGATGAAAGTCAGGAGAACGAACTGGGAACAGGCCCTGAACCCTCCAGGAATCAGCCTGTTATCGAGACTACGGCCTTCGCATACAAACCTATCGATGCAAGCATACAACAGCTCGATAACGGTGGTCAGGGATAGGGGCAACCTTCTACCGTTGTCCAGCATACTCGAACCAGATGAAGAACTGCTACTTCTAACACCGTTGGTCAAGCCTTTACCGGCGTCTGCGGCGGCAGCAGTAGCAGCAACAGCAGCAGCAGCAGCAGGGCATGCTGGTGGTGAGCGCAGCCGAGAGTCGACAAACTCGATCGACGCCTCCTCGAGCTCGATGTCGTCCAATATGAAGAGTGGCGAGGCCGTGTTTCGCGAACTGGGACGGTCACTGGCCCGGCGGAGGAACGGAAGGGTTCTTCACACATCATACAGTGCCAGCGGCGTTCGACCTATCCACGAGAACCTGATCAACCGAGCCAGTGCAGTGATAATAGTTACTGCAGACTCGAACCGGAACCTATACCAGCACGGCTTCACCAAGCACGTCTCGCTCATCTGCAACAGCAGTTGCATGAACAACAGCACCAACAATAACAGCACACACAACAACAGCGCGAGACGGAACTCAGCGGGCTACCAGCGACCTAAGGCGGTCGTGGTGGTAGCAGTGAGCTCGCCGTACGACTTTGCCAAAGACCCGACGATCGGGACGTATGTGTGTACCTACGACTTTACGGATGCAGCTCTACAGGCGCTGGTGAGGGTGCTTTATGGGGAGGTATCACCTACTGGACGGATGCCGGGGACGCTGAGCAAGAGCACGGCACGGCGAACGAGTCAGCCCCGGCAGCAATGGCTGGTCGAGACATGGAACGAGGAGCGAGACTCTGCAGCGCTGGACACCCTGCTGACGTCGATACGAGAGAGCGAGAGTGGTATTAATAATAGCAGTACCAGCAGCAACACGCACAACAACGAGATGGGCCCCAGTAGCAGCATCGACAGCACCAGCACGAGCAGCACCAGCAGCATCCTGGCAAACGTGAGAGCGGATACCTTCCTGCTGAAGAGTGCGGATGTGCAGGAATGCCACCTGGTGGTGCGCAACAGCAGCACGCACGCGATCAACGGCTTCTGCGCAACGTACTTCTTCCGCTCGACGGGGACCGGGGTGATAGGCGCGATACTAGTCGATCCAGCGCGGCGCCGCTTGGGCATCGGCAGCTCACTCCACAGTCGAGCGATCCAAACACTCAGACAACACCCGGACATCAAGCAGCTGCAGCTGGGATCTCGTCTGCCCGGGGTCTACCTTGGCATTCCCAGGACTGACCCGGTCGAGCGGAGGAGGCTTCGGCGCTGGTTTGCCAAATTGGGATGGTCGATGGCGCTCTCGCGGCCGCTGTGCTCGATGGTGCTGCGGGACGTACAGAGCTGGGTGCAGCCAGACGGGCTGAAGGGCGGGAGCAGGAGCGGGAGCAGCAGGAGCAGCAGCAGCGTCATTGGCAGCGGCGAGGTCGAGTATGACCTTGTGTTTGGCGAGGAGTACACGGATGCGGTGATCGAGCATGTGCGGACGAGCTCCAGACAGGGGGTGGCGGAGGTGTACCGGACAGCGCTGGCTGGAGGGCCACACTGCGGCATCATACGGGCGAAGAAAGCTGGGGAAACAAGCATAACCTCTGCTGCTGCTGCTGCTCCTGCTGCTCCTGCTAATGCAAACGGGAATGCTGCATCTGCCAATAATAATCATAATGTCGTCAACGCAGGTTCCGAAGAAGATGGAGACGGGGAGATGATGATTGACGGGCTGCAGCTGGGCCTGGAGGCGGACGACCAACTCCACGACCAACTCCACGGCCACAGCAACGACCAACCCCATGGTCACGGCCAGGGCCACAGCAACAAGACGCTGGTGGGCAGCGTGGTGGTGTACAATGCGCGGTCGTCGCTGGCTCGACTGGTTCCGGCGGTCAGGGAGGCTCGAGTGCGTGCTGGCGGCATCTCGTCGCCAGTGATATCTCCGTCTGTCGGAGAATATGCCATGCTGGTCCAAGGGCTGATCGTGCTGGGCATCAAGGAGATCCGCAAGCAGGGCGGCAACACTGTGATACTCGACTGCGTGAGTGTACCCTCTTTTTACTTCTTCTTCTTCCTACCTCTTCTTTGACTTTATTTTTCTTCTTCATTATTACTTATTATTCTTGTATCTCGATCTGCCTTGTCGACTCCATCGCATCCCTGTTCCGTCGAATCAGGGTGCGTCAGAGTACGAGAACGACCCGGTCTGGATACAAGGGATAAGAATAACTTCTCTCTAGCCCGCGCTATTCTTAGCACTTTCTGCACTTTCTGCACTTTCTGCACCCGCTTGGCCAGTGGCCTGGCGTCTGATTACTTGATGATGATTAAAACCATGGCTTGACTGACGAAAGTAACTTGGACTAACTACTTTTTAGGTTGACGGCGATGGCAACTCTGACAGCCTGACGGCGATGGGCTTCTCTGTGCTACACAGCTTCGAGGAACTGACCTGTGACGCCGCCGCCTGGGGACGCTGACCTTTTCCTTACCTCGGCCAGTCTCTTCCCTGTTTACCTACCTGTTTCTACAGGCCAGCATCACCAAGGGAGTTCTCTTTTTTATTTTTTATTTTTTTATTTATTTTTTTTTATTCTATTCCTTTTGGCGTTTTACTACTCTTTACTTTTACATGCGCAAAAGGGGGGGAGACGGCGAGCTCTGCATATCGACCACCATTCACGCATTATATACTCAACTTAACTTGAATATGCCTGCAGTTATTCACCTGCTTGATCGAGTTTAGCCGGCAGCGGGGATTTTCGATCTTCGACACTTCTGGCTTTGTTGCTTTCTCGAGCCGACGACGGCCCCTGACCGGCGAGGGCTATAAGAGGAGGCTGCTAAGATGGAGAAAAGGGACTAGGGAAAGCTTCTAGAAGAGCCAGGCGGGCGGGCGAGAGGATGGCAGATGAAAGCGAGGGAGCCGGTCAGTCCGATCAGACTAACGAGCGAGTCCAGCGAGTCCAGCTGTCGAGAGAGCAGGGTTGGCCCGCTGGGGATCGTAGGGATCGTAGGGGAGGGGGGAGGATGATGTCGATGATATATGTATGTATGTATGGATGTATGTATGTATATGTATGTGAGTGATGGCCGGGATGCGACATGGCTATCCACCACCGCGGACCTGGCTCTCCAGCTGCTCCACGCATCTATCTCAGAGCGTCTTCCCTCTCTGTCTCTCTGTCTCGTCCCTTTCGACGTCCCTCTCTTTCAAGTGTGTATCTTCTAGTCGCATCCGCCGTAAACGAGGCTAAGTTAGTCGAAGAGTTAAAGCCCTTAGCTGGAGGCTAAGCAAGTTTAGGCCGGAAGATCTCTTTTTTCTTCTTCCTGCGCTTTTCCCCAGATAACGAACGAGGACGACGAGACGGCATTGACAAGAGAAGAAGAAGAAGACGACGACGACGACGACGACGACGGGACGATAGCGATTAAGACGAGGACGAAGACGAAGACGACGGAGAAGACGAAGAAGATCCTGCTGGAATAGTTAGTGACAGGGAGAGCTCGCTTATCCTGGCTGGCCTCCCTCGGCCGCCACTCTCTGCACTGCGACAGACCGCGCACAGGACTATACAGGACTATAAGACGAAGAGACGGAGGGAGGACAGACGAACAGACGAAAAGAGAGAGAGAGAGAGAGGAGAGAATGGCCAATATGGACGGCTACGATGCGATGGCGCTGCCGTACATGGGCTCGCCGCTGCCCGCGATCTCGCACGGCGACTTCATGGCCCCGATGGCGCCCATGGAGATGCCGCAGCCCTCGCCCTACGACGAGACGTTCCCTAGGTATTACTCCTATCTTTCTACTGCTGTATCGGTGTAGTGGTCTAATGTGTGTAGTGCGGACGAGATGAGCTACTCGCAGCAGCCGATGATGCGGCGGTTCTCGAGCAGCCAGTTCGAGGAGCCCTTCCCTGAGATCGCAGACATGATTCCCGCGACGCCCTTTGATGTCGACATGCAACAGCAGCAGCAGCAGCATCAGCAGCATCAGGTACAGCATCAGCAGCAGATACAACCGCAGCATCAGCATCAGCATCAACAAATACAGCACCAGCAGCAGCAGCAACAACTTCAACCACAGCCGCAACACGGACAAGGAACAGGACAAGGGACGGAGGAGGACTCGATAGACCACGGCCACAAGCTGCTCTCCTTCTCGGTGCCGGCCTACAACTTTACTCTACTGGACTACTCGCTACGGCGGACCTCGCTGAACATGACGGCGCAGCTACACGGGATGTTCTTCCTGGCCGAGTCGAGCTGGTCGGCCTCTCCCGGCGGCGACACACCGGTGAGCGTCAACACGGCGGCGCCCGCAGTAGGGATGGGCATGGGAGTGGGCGTGGGAGTAGGCGTTGGGCCGGCAGAGCTGACCTGCTACCGGCGGAATCTGTTCCAGATCACAGGCTCGGTGACGCTGCCGCGGACACTCCGGTATATCATGACGGAGCAGGGCGACCGCATACCCATCCTGGCGCAGGAGCTGACGGTGTCTGCCACGGAGTCGGTGGAAGGCAACCCGGTCAAAATCATCTCGGTGCCATGGAAGACTCCGGCGGGTGGTTCTTCTTCCGCCAATGCATCGGGGAGTGCTGGTGGTGCTGGTGTTGGCGGCAGTGGCGGTGGTAGTGGTAGTGGAAGTGCTGCTGGCGGTGGAATGGTAGAAGACAAGACGGAAAAGGAGCCTGCGCCGGTCGTGCTGGACACCATGGGCGGCCAGGACGCAGACGCCGACTTTGCTACCTTTTCGATTGCGTGGAAGCGGCTGCAGTTCCGGATAGCGACCGCCAACAACGGACGGCGGCGGGAGCTGCAGCAGCATTTTGTGCTGAGGCTGAAGATCGTGGCGACGCTGTCGACGGGGGCGAAGATCTCGATATGCGAGAGCCAGTCGGGCCCGATCATCGTGCGAGGCCGCAGTCCGCGCAACTTCCAGTCCAGAAAGGATGTGCCCCTGAGCGGCAGCGCGGCGGCCTCGAGGAAGAACACGCAGGCCGCAGCTCTGGCCAGGGCCAACGCAGGAGGCACTCCCGCCAATCCCGCTGGCAGTGTATCAGCTGGCGGCGGGAAGAGAAACTCGCCGGTCAAGACGGAGGAGAGGGCGGCTGCTGCTGCTGTTATATCTGATCCCTCAGCGGCGGCGGCGGAGGAGGAGGAGGAGAGCCGGTCGAGCAAGCGACGGCGGATGAGCTCCGGGATCCCGCCCATCACGCTGACCTTCAACGACGAGGAGGCCAGCTCGCCGCACTCGCTCCCTATCCCCGAGCTGGAGCAGCAGCTGGAGCAGCCCGAGCGGAAGAGATCTACATCCCATTACGACGGTCCCTTGAATCATCATCCCCTAAATCAACCCCTAAATCAACATCACCAACATCAACATCACCCCCTGAATCAACATCAACATCAACCCCAAAGTAACCACCACCAGAACCACCACCAGAACCACCAGCTGCCGGCTATCATGGGCGAGGCCGAGGACAGGGCCGACGTGCTGTACGAGTACTTCCCGCTGGCGCTGGAGGAGTGGCAGGCGCCCGTGGACGCCGTCTACCGGCCGCACGTCGTGCACCACACCGCGCTGGCCGGCGATGCAAAGGCGCTGGCCGCCCGCCGGAGCAAAGTCTACTTTGAATCATAGCATTCCCCGTCTTTCTCTTCTTTTTCTCTTCTTTTTCTTCTTCGCTTCTTCTTCTGTACATATCAAATAGCTAATATCGACCTCTGTTCTCTCTGCCTGCCACTCCCACCCCCTGAAAGCCGCCCGCTGCGACACTAAGCAACACTAACGCTGCGACTGCGACTCTGGCTCGCCCATGTTACATCCTTACTAAGGCCAACCTTGCAATGCTACTCGCCTGCGTCTATGGAGCTGCCGTGCGAGGTTAATCATGGCTGCTGTGCTCTTAGTAGTATGTATGGTGTGTATGTCTATGTGCTAGGGGTGATGTTGTATGTCTCTCGCAACGCCCGCATCGCAGCTCTCGATGTCACCCTGCGGCCTCCACTCGCGTTGCTTTTCGTCTGCGCTGTCCTTTTGCTCTTAATAATTCTCTTGCTGCTTCGTCTTCGTCTTCGTCTTATCGGTCTGCTTATTATTATTGCTATTTATCGCCGTCTCTGCCGTCTCTGCTGGCGTCTTCGTCTTTCACCATGAGCGCGGCCAGTTACACCCGCTCGTCCCCTGCACCACCGCATAGCACAGCATAGCCTGCTATATAGATACCATCTCTTCACCATTATTCCTCGTTTATTCTCAGATTATTCCTGTCAGCCGTCAGTCTATCCAGTCTATCGATATCAAAATGGGCAAAGGCACCCTCGAGCAGGTCGCCCTGCGCCTCCGCCAGCTCTTCGACAGCCTGCTCTCCGTCCTGCAGCGCCTCCTCCGCCTCTCCCAGAAGCAAAAGACGACACCAAAGACAGCTTCAAAGACAGCATCAAAGACACCGTCAAAGACATGCGAGAAACGGCCGTCCTCCCTGCGATGCAGACGCTCCCTCGATGACCTCGCCGCCGACGTCCAGCGCCAGTTCACCTCCCACCTCTCGACCGCCCGCCTCGCCGCCATGGCCGCCGGCATCCGCCTGCAGCTCGACCGCTGTGCAAAGTCCTCGCCCGTCTGCATGCTGCCCTCCTTCAACCATGCCTTACCCTCCGGCAGCGAGCGCGGGACCTTCCTGGCCCTCGATGTCGGCGGCTCGACCTTCAGAGTCGCCCTCGTCGAGCTCGCCGGCCACGGCGCCATGCACATCCGCCGCATCGCCTCCTCCGCCATCGACGAGCCCGTCAAGCTGCTCGAGGGCCGGGCGTTCTTCGACTGGATCGCCCTGCGCATCCTCGACATGCTGCGGGCCGGCGACGAGGGCTACGGGCGGGACTCTTCCTCGCCGCTGCCCATGGGCCTCTCCTGGTCGTTCCCCATCGACCAGACCTCCATCCGCTCCGGCCTCGTGCTCAGCATGGGCAAGGGCTTCCTCTGCTCCAACGGCACCGTCGGCGAGGACCTGGGCGACCTGATCATGGCCGCGTGCCGGAAACACCAGCTCAACGTCCGCATCGAGGCCATCGTCAACGACAGCTCGGCCACCTTGCTCTCCCGCGCCTACATCGACCCGTCCACCCGCATGTCCCTCATCCTCGGCACCGGCACAAACGTCGCCATCCACTACCCTACCCGGGCCATTGGGCGCGAGAAGTTCGGCGACAGGCCCGAGGCGTGGTTCGATAAGGCCAGCCATGTCATCATCAACACCGAGATGAGCATGTTTGGCGGCGGCGGCGTGCTGCCCATGACCCGCTGGGACGACGACCTCAACCGCGCCCACATCAAGCCCGACTACCAGCCCCTCGAGTACCTGGTCACGGGCCGGTACATCGGCGAGATCGTGCGTCTCATCATCGTCGAGGCCGTGGCCGTCGCGGGCCTGTTTGCAGGTGAACTGCCGGCATCCTTACGTCTGCCGTACTCCCTCGACACTGCCATAGTGGCCTGCATCGAGGCCGACACTTCTGCCAACCTCGACAAGTCGGCAGCCATGTTGACCGCCAGCCATGCATTTGCCGTGCCCCCTTCGACGGCAGACATGCAGTTTCTGCAGACAGTCTGCAAGTGCGTCTCCAGGCGAGGCGCCGCATACCTCGCTACGGCCATATACTCTCTCTGGCGTCTAAGCAACGAGAGCGAGTCCCCTGCTTCTTCCTCGCCCGAACACACTCGAGACGACCTCCTGCTCACCAAGAGCCTCAGCACAACAACTGACCTCGAGGTCGGCCAAGCAGTCACCATTGCCTGTGACGGGACCGTCATCAACAAGTACCCGGGCTTCCGAAGTACCTGCCAGGCCTACCTCAACAGCCTCACTGCCCACGCCCATGCCAACTCCAGTGTCAATACTGCAGATTCAGGTTCAGACAGCGCCACTGAGACTGAATCAGACAAGCCGATGATATCCCTTGACCCCGCGCCAGAGAGCGGCATCTTTGGCGCCGCCGTAGCAGTGGCCGTTGCTCTCCCCTCGTCCCCCTCTTCCTAGACATCTATCCCTCTCTCTCTCTCTCTTCTCTCTATCTATCTACAATCCTTTTACGACCGGTCCTTCACCATCTCACTCCTTGATGACCCATACATACATTACATACATACCATCCTTTGCTTTCCCTTGGCACGGAGTTCAGTCTTCTCTAGTCTTCCAGCAGGCGGCGCTTGACTTACTTTTTTTTTTCTCACTCCTATTTCCATTCTCGGCGGACAGGGTCTTTTTTTTTTTCTTTTTTAAATTCATAGTACCGTTTATTCATGTTCATATAACTGTTAACTGTCTAGTAAGTACGTATTACAGTGCCTAGATGCAGGGCACGGGTCGAGGCATGCATGCATGCGAATGTTAAATAGCCAAAACGAATCTATATCCTCACTATCTCACACACACTCTCTCTCTTTACTTTCTCTCTCTCTCTATCAATATTGTACAATTCCGAATTACGTGCCCGCGTAGTCTATGTATAGTAGTTATAAAAAGTATTACTATATTAAAAATACCCCCTTCTATCTATTTTCTTTACTTTTTTTACTATTAGTAGATATATAAGGCCTCTATAGATTATTTAACTACTTTTTAAATTATTTATCGACCTTCTTTTATTATTATTTTATCTATTTTTGGAAGTTATATTAACTTTTAATATAGTATTATATAACTACTAAATAATATTTGATTTTAGCTTAGTAGTAGAATATTAAAATTAACTAATTAATTATATATATGAATTACTAGTTATTTATAGATTAGTATA